CTCAGCAGTGTACTTCGTAGATCTGCCTGTTCTGCTCCCCATTCTGTCTCTGGTGAAGCCTCTCACCACCCCTGAGCCTCCGGCCTGTACCCTAGTTCTGTATGCACAAATAAATAAATCTTTAAAAAAAAAATAGGAAAGACATTATATCAAAAATGAAGTCTAAAGGTACCCAGGGGAAAATAAATTTAAATGAAAACTTTATAAGCAACTTTTTTGTTTTTGTTTTTTTTTTAAATTCATACAGAACCAGGGTACAGGCCAGAGATGGGGAGGGTGAGAGGATTCACCAGAGACAGACTGGGGAACAGAACAGGCAGATCGATGATGTACACTGCTAAGGGGAACAGCGAGTGGGTCAGGAGAGGTCTGCCACGCCATGTGGTCAACTCCGGGGCGGGATCGTACTCATGCAGAAGTGGTTTAAGCTTCTCAGTGCTGTGCTTTAACCCGCTGGGCCACCAGGGAGAGCCTATAAGCAACTTTTAAAGGAAACAAAATCAACTCAAGGAGGAGGTAGGGGTGAAAAGCGATAAGATAAAGAAGTATTGAACCAGGAAGCAGGCAAGGAAGGGCTCACATTACAACTTGATCCCTAAAGAGGAAAATCAAAACAGTGAAACTTTCCAGAAATAAAATTAAAAATCTATAAATTGAAAGAGGCCTATATCTAGGAACTGGGAAATTGAATCATCAGTACATATCTTGTTACCACCATTAGACTTTAAAGATAATAAAAAATCATCAGTGCATTGAGACAAAATGATGAAATAATAGGCAAGGCCTTGATGAATAGAGTGACACCAGACTTCTCAAAACATCCAAAACAAGACAACAAAAAAATACCATTTTTAAGAAATTTGATGAAACATGGATTCTATGCCAATCAGTTATATAGATCAGAGAAAGTAAGTTTTTTGTTGTTGTTGTTTTTAAATGGAAGAGCTGAAGTTTACTCATATTCTCTTCTTGAGGACCTTATATATGAGCTTCAGCCATTTCATCCAACAATAGGTGACTCAGGCAAACATTGTCAAATGATGATGGTGAACATTTCATATATTTATTTGTAGGGCTAATTAGGTCTAAAGTAATGGTGAGAACACCTATAGAAGCATGGCACGTAAACATGTCATCTCACAAAGGAGTATGATTGCAATTAAAAGAAAAGGGAATGTAAAATATATCATAAGGAAAAGGATTGAGTCAAGGGATGTCTTCAAATGGACAGAGTAGGGCCCTCCCTGGTGGCGCTGTGGGTTAAAACACAGCAGTAGGAACCTAAAGCCACTTCAGTATGAGTTCAGTCCCCGCCCTGGAGGTGATCCACATGACACGGCAGACCTCTCCTGGCCCACCCACTGCTCCCCTCAGCAGTGTATTTCATCAAGTCAGCCTGTTCTGCTCTCCACTCTGTCTCTGGTGAATCCTCTCACCCCCCTGTACCTCTGGCCTGTACCCCAGTTCTGTATACATACATAAATATATATACATATTAAATATTTATTTATTTTTGCATATAGAACTGGGGTTCAGGCCAGACATGCAAGGGCGGTGAGAGGATTCACCAGAGACAGACTGGAGCAGAAAGATATATCGTCAAAGTACACTGCTGAGGGGAGCAGCGGGCGGGTCAGGAGAGGTCTGCCGCGCCATGTGGGCACCTCCGGGCCAGGCGGGGTTCAAATTCATGCGGAAGTGGCTTTAGCTTCTTAGTGCTGTGCTTTAACCCGCTGCGCCACCAGGGAGGGCCCCAATAAATACATTTTTTTAATAGACAGTAGATAAATTTATAAAGCTTAAGAAACAAGGGGCACTATTTTAAAGAGTGTAAATACAGGTATAGCCACTGATTTAAAAAAAAGGAAATACAAACCTTAAAAACAAAAGAATACATTGTTTTCCCCCCTTAAGGATTACAATCCTGTGTTTCCTGTAGTCTAATATTTTTCCATTTAAAAAAAATTATTTATGACATTAGGGTAATTCCATCTTTGATACTTTCTCATAATGAAAAGTGGAAGTTCTTCAAAATATTAAAAATTGACACCACCAATGAATACTCTAAACACAAGAATATCCTGTGGAATGTGGGGCCTTTGGAGAGAAACTATACCACTAGCTACCCTCCACCTGGACTGAATTTTCTCATTATGAGGAAAGAGTCAACTCAAACCAGGGAGTGAAAGGCGAACCATATTCTTCAAGGTATCAGGTGTTGTGAAAGATAAAGAATTATTCCAGATTTATGAAAACTAGAAGGCTAAATACATTGTTCTCATTGAATCTTGTACTTAAGGAAGAAAAAATTGCTTAACATTAGGTCAGTTGATAAAGTTCAATTAAAGTAATTAGCTAAGAATATATATATATTTTTAAAGATTATTTTATTTATCCATACAGAACTGGGGTATAGGCCAGAGATGCTGAGGGTGAGAGGATTCACCAGAGGCAGAGTGGGGAGCAGAACAGGCATATCGATGAAGTACACTGCTGAGGGGAGCAGCGGGTGGGTCAGGAGAGGTCTGCCACACCATGTGGATCTCCTCCAGGGCAGGCAGGGATCGAACTCATGTGGAAGTGGCTTAAGCTTAGCGCTATGCTTTAGCCTGCTGCACCACCAGGGAGGGCCCAGCTAAGAATATTTAAAACAGCATTCAGGATCTTTCCTGGTGGAGGAGCGGGTTAAAGAACAACACTGTGGAGCTAGTCACAGGTGCTTTGGCATGAGTTTGATCCCCAGCCAGGCAGGTGACCCACATGGCACAGCAGACCTCCCCTGTCTCACCTGCTGCTCCCCTCAGCAGTGTACTTTGTCACTCTGCCTGTTCTGCTCCCTACTCTGTCTCTGGTGAATCTTCTCACCACCCTTGCACCTCTGGCCTGTACCCCAGTTCTGTATGCATAAATAAACATCTTTTTAAAAAATAACATTCAGTTTTATAGTGCTCTATACTCTGGCTATGTTCTTATGAATTATACCCGCAGTATTTACACCTCAAGGGGTATGAGCAACATAATTACTCTCAAATGCTTCAGAAACATGTTTTACAGAAAAACAGGAAATAATAAAGCATGTAGTACAAAATAAAAATCAGTGAGTTTGGATAAGGTGAATTATGTTTGTGCAGTTTTTTTTAAAGTTTGAGAATATTCCCAAATAAATTTTTTAAAAACATGCACTTTTCCAAACATTTGGGAAAATGTTTTATAATAGCCTCTAAAGATAAACAGACAAATATTCTATGATCTAGCAGTTCTTCTACTGAGCATATATTTAAGAAAAATGAGTTAGGGCACTCGTGTAGTGTGTTAAAGCACAGCACTATGAAGCTGTCGCAGCCACTACAATACAAATTTGATCCCCTGCCAGGAAGGTGACCCACATGGCGTGGCAGACCTCTCCTGACCTGCCCACTGCTCTCCTCAGCAGCGTATTTCAGTCAATCTGCCTGTTCTGGTCCCACCTCTGTCCCTGATGAATCTTCTTACCCCTCCCCCTCACCTCTGGCCTGAACCCAGTTCTGCATAAGTGAATAAATCTAAAGAAAAGAAAAATTAATTATAGCTTAATGAAAACATGCACATTCTAAACACCAGCTTTTTGGGTATATCTCCAGAGCTTTTGGCATTCATTTGAAAATATATACTTTTCCTTAAGCTGCAACTAAGTTACTATAATGTTGCAATGCAGTGGTCCTCAATGTGGGGTTCCTAGAACAGCAGCATCAGCATCAACTGGGATCCAGTTAGAAATGTACATTTTTGTATTCTCCTTGTCTGGTCTTAACATCAGAAACTTTGCAGTTAGATACCAGCAATATGTATTTTATCAAACCCTCCAGATGATTTTGATGTATGCCGTGGGTAAACCCCTGCTCAACATACCTCCAGGAACTGTTGTCTTCAAAAGTACTATTTCTTTTATTTTCAGCTTCTCCAATTTGGGAAATACCTGCTATATGAATGCTATTCTACAATCTCTGTTTTCACTCCAATCATTTGCAAATGACTTACTTAAGCAAGGTATCCCATGGAAGAAAATTCCACTCAATGCACTCATCAGGTAATTGTTAATATACTTACTGAGTAACCTTTTATTTCATTGATTATAGAAAATTGGAGTTCTTAGATCCTTAAAATTTTATGTGCCATTGTTAACAATTTTTCAAATATGTGCTAACTTTGTCTTTTTTGCTTTACCAGACGCTTTGCACACTTGCTTGTGAAAAAAGATATCTGTAATTCAGAGACCAAAAAAGATTTACTCAAGAAGGTTAAAAATGCCATTTCAGCTACTGCAGAGAGATTCTCTGGCTATATGCAGAATGTGAGTACTGATTATTTTTAAACACTTTAGAAATAGAAATTGAGGCCCTCCCGGGTGGCAAGTGGGTTAGGACGCAGCACTACAAGCTAGCTAGCTGCAGTCGCTTCAGTCTGAGTTCAATCCCTGGCCCCAGAGGTGATCCACTTGCATGGCAGACCTTTCCTGTCTTGCTTGCTGCTCCCCTCAGCAATATACTTCGTTGATCTGCCTGTTCTGCTCCCCACTCTGTCTCTCATGAAGCCTGTCACCACCCCTGCAACTCTGGCTTGTACCCCAGTTCTGTATGTATAAATAAATCAATCTAAAAAATAAAGAACAGCCATTCTAAAAATACACACACACACACACATAATATTATTTTTAAAAAAATAAAGGAAATTGAAATAATTTTCTTTTTAAAAACAGGAGTGAGTCGTTTATTCGTAGTACTCCAACTTATTAAGAATATAAAATCTGTCATATAATTTTATTCTCAAAATAGGTACCCAAAGTCTTTAGAGTGCATCTGACCAAAAATTTTCATAGGTGTTGCCTTCTAAGTGCTTTAGTGGCATAATTCTCAATGTAATAAGATAGTATTGTAACAAATGTTTGCTCTGATTAAGGGTGTTATGCTTTTCTTAGGATGCTCATGAATTTTTAAGTCAGTGCTTAGACCAGCTAAAAGAGGATATGGAAAAATTAAATAAAACTTGGAAGACTGAACCTGTTCCCGGAGAAGAAAATTCACCAGATATTTCAGCCACCCGAATATACACTTGCCCTGTTATTTCTAACTTAGAGTTTGAGGTTCAGCATTCCATCATCTGTAAAGCGTAAGTAAACTTTAAAAGAACTCTTCCGTTTTATTTTTTATGACAAGTGTTTAAAACTCTTCCAGAAGACTTCGTTCATATGTTACCTTTATTCTGTGTCATGATGAAACAGCAATACATCAATGCTATCAGACACCTTTGTTCATTGTCTTCATCGTCTGTAAAAATGGTTGGTGGGGTGAGAACTAAAGAAAACTTAAGAATACTTTGTAAATGTCTTCTGTGCTAACTCAAAAGTTAATTTTAGTCGGCGTGTTGTTTGTTTTCTTTTACTCACTGATGGATATTAAGTCTTGTAGGATACTTGTTTTTTATTTTTCCCTGTAAATTCTCTCCTATTAGTTGCTTATTTTGTTGAACCAGTTTTTTTTTCTTAAAAATACTTGTTCTTTTTTTCTTTTGAAAATGAAGAAAAATGTGGATTTTTTTGGTTTCTATTTTTATTACATAAACAGATTAAGATTTTAACCAACATAAGCTACAAAATAAAATATTTTAGACAAAGAGTGCTGAGGAAAAATTACAAATGACTTGCTTATCAATGAAAATTATTCAGCAGGGTTTTCAGTCTGATATGGGAAAGCAGAAGAATGGTGGGATAAGGGTAGGAATATAGTTGTTATCTATAATTCTAAGACACATCATAGTGCAGTGTGGAATGCAGTGTAGCATAATTTTAACATTACATACAGTAGTGTAATAGCGACTTCATGTTACTCTACATCAGATCCACAGGAAGGTGATTAATTACTAATACAAAGGACCCTAAATAGTATTTTCTTAAGATGTCTCTGAAGTAGTTTTACCTGCTTCTTGGCCAAAGTTTGTTGTTTTTTCATAGTTTGAAATATTAACTTTTTTAAAAATGAGTGTTCACATTGATTATTCAAACCTTCTACATTTAATTAGTACATTTTATTATCAGAATTTCTATACCATGCATCTCAAATCAAAAGGTTCTGTTTAACACATCTTCCAGCTATCACTAGTAAATTTCTGAATACATTTTTTCAGAGCCCTGTATAAGTGAAATTTATTTCTGTAGCTTTCATGTATCACTTAATACAAAATTTTTGAGCATATTGCCTTTCCCTCACAGCATATTGCTTATACTGTCCCAATGTATCCTGTTTCTCTCTGATACGCAGGGAAACCTGATTCTGTGGGTAATCTCTTCTTTCTAAAAATCTGGCATTCTTTTTTTTTTTGAAAGTCACTAGTTTACATCTAGGTATTGACAGTTTTTTTGTTTAATTTATATTTGTCATAATGGGATTTTTCATTCTAAAGACTTCGGTTTTTCTTTTGCTCAATACTATTCTTTAATATTGTTTCTCGTCCATTTGTCTTAGAATTTTCTTTAGAAATATTCAGATCCATTTATAGACTCTCCATTCTCTGTATCTTTGTATTTATTTGTATTTATATTTCTTAGACTGCTCAGAATTACAGTGTTTATTGAAGTCTCTTCAACTATAACTTTCTAGTATTTTTTACTATAGTTTTAGACATTCATATGGATACTATAAAGACAGTAGTTTTGTATCACTAATCTGTAATATTTCTTGCCTTCATGATTTCTTCATTCTTTTTTTGGGGGGGGTCTCTCAAACTTTGTTTTTAATTATGTTTATTGAGGTAGTGTTGATTTATGACACCTGTGTATGTTTTAGGAGTATTGGTTTATACCACTGCAAATGTATATTATTATACCACACCACCATCAAATCCCCAGTTGTCTTCCACCATAGTCCAAAGTTATCTTTCAAGCTTTATTGAACGGCAATGATTCATAAAGTTCAGATCTTGTTAAACTTAGCCATATCCATGGACTACAGATAGTCCTTAAAAGCATTGATCTGCAGCATGCCTTTTCCAACTTAATTGTCTTCAAGTATACAATATTTTTGAATTTTTTTCTAATTTCACACCCCACTGGAGGTGACAACAATGGGTTAAAGCACAGCACCTTGAAGCTACCCGCAGTCACTTCAGCACATGTTCGATCCCCAGGTAGAGAAGTGACCCACATGGCTCAGCAGACCTTTCCTGTCTCACCTGCTGCTCCCCTCAGAAGTGTACTTCGTCAGTCTGCTTGTTCCGCTCCCCACTCTGATTCTGGGTTATCCTCTCCCCAGCGCCAGCACCTCTGGTCTGTACCCCAGTTCTGTATGCATAAATAAATAAATCTTTAAAAAAAAAAAAGAAAGAAAAAACCCAGAAGGTGACCCCAGATCAGGCCCTCTGCTTCGGTGCTTGTGACACACTTCTTTAATTTTGTCATGTTTCTCTTATCACCCCAAGGTTTCACATCTAATAAGATAGAAGATTTGGCAATAAGTGCAATAAATGCTTTCTGACTTATTTTGACTCATTCTGTTCAAGGCATTCTTTTAGCCTTTTTACTTTTTCACTTTCCTCTTCATCAGATCCAGAGAGATTAGTGTCATCATCACTTTATTATCTATAACTTCATTCCATTGGTGGCTTCCACATTAACTAACACATTACTTGACTATGTTTTTCTTCACTTCAGGAAGCCTGGCCTTTTCAGTTTCATCAGACCATCAATGTAAGACATGATACAGGTTGGCAGGTGGTAGGCCAAAGGCTGCTTCAAATCGACAGCTTTTGTTACCAAGACTGCCTGCCTCAGTCTATGCAGACGTCTCTTTTAACAAACTTCTCCTTTGAAAAGCAGCAGCAGCAGCTCTCTGCCCACCTGCGTCTGTGCAGATGCCTCTGTTTTTCTTTTCTCTTTTTCTTAATAAATATGTCCTTTTAAAATGTCAAATGAAAAGACTGCTTCAAATAGCCCCAGATCTGCCTGTGACAGCACATACTCTCCTTCAGAGTAACTTATATCTACCAGACAATCATTGAGCACCTGGAGGTCAGTGCGTGTTATTCAGGACTTCAAAACCTATGGCATTGGCTTATGCCAGTGCTGATGGATGGTAGAAAAAAAGGTCATGGGCACTCAGTACTGAGAGGAGAGAAAGAGGGCAAATTATTTAAATTACATCATTTTAAAAATATAGTGTGCTTGGGTGACTTGGTGATGGGAAGCCCACAGGGATTATAACTGAGAAGGAAAAAGGCACAAAATGATGTAAAAATAAACTATTTTATTATTTAAAATGTATACATATAGTGCACCTTCTCCTGGTAAAAACAGGAGAACCCACCAACAGTCAATAAGATTGCATCTTTTGGGCCCTCCCTGGTGGCGCAGCGGGGTAAAGCACAGCACTAAGAAGCTAAAGCCACTTCAGCGTGAGTTCGATCCCTGCTCCCCGGAGGTGACCTACATGGCACGGCAGACCTCTCCTGACCCGTACGCTGCTCCCCTCAGCAGTGTGCTTCGTTGGTTGGCCTGTTCTGCTCCCCGCTCTGTCTCTGGTGAAGCCTCTCACCGCCCCTGTAACTCTGACTTGTACCCCAGTTCTGTATGAATAAATAAATCAATCTTAAAAAAAAAGATTGCAGCTTTCCCTTTCTTCAAATGCACTTCCCCCCAGATTTATGCAAATCAGGAAGACAGTTTTTATTGCAGTTATTTAATTGTGGGACATTGACCAGATTTTTTTATTAAAGATTATTCATACAGAATTGGGATGCAAGCCAGAGGTGCAGGGGGCGGTGGGAGGATTCACCAGAGACAGAGTGAGAAGCATAACAGGTAGACTTATGAAATATACTGCTAAGGGGAGCCAAAGGTGAGACAGAAGTCTGCTGCTTCATATGGGTCACCCTTCCTTGGCCAGGGATCAAACTCACGCCGAAGCAGCTGCAGCTAGCTTTGCAGTACTGTGTTCTAATATGTTGCGCCACCAGGGAAGGCCCCAGATTTTTTTTTTTTTTTAAGATTTATTTATGCATACAAGAACTGGGGTGTTGACCAAAGGTGCAGGGGTTGAGAGTATTTGCCAGAGACAGAGTAGGGAGCAGAACAGGCAGATCCACTGAAATCCACTGCTGAGGGGAGTAGGCAGGCGAGACGGGAGAGGTCTGCTGCGCCAGGGGGTCAGCTCCCTGGCTGGAGATTGAACTCCTGCTATAGTGGCTGCAGAGAGCTTCTTAGTGCTGGGACTTAACCCTTGCACCATCAGGGAAGCCCCAGATCTTTCTTTTTTCTTTTTTCTTTTTTTTTTTTTTGTATAGGAAAATTTCATTTATATCTTATGGAAATAGCTACAGGAAGCACAGGATCCAAAATTACAACCATATCAAAAAAATGTCCCCTGTGCCAACAGAATTCATTGCGCACTCCAGTTATACATCACACAGATGTTGGGTGTATAGGTGAGGTGTATACATCAGTGCATGAAGTAATATGTCTCAGGAAGCGTGGGCACAGCTGGCCACCAGACTGCACAGTGGCATAGGAATGTGTGTGCCAAGTCTGGGGGGCAGGTCTGTGGGACCCAGGCAATAGTGGTACAGCTATTTCCGCAAAGATCTTGCTTTTGTAACTTTAAAATAACAAAAGAGTTTTGACTGAAGGAAGATTCTACAATTATCATTGTAGATTCTTTCCATTATCATTTTCTGTGTTTAGCCTCTGTTCACTGTAGTTTTGCCAATTTGCCAAATGTACTTAATTTTTTAAAACTATTTCAGTTTAAATTGACTGTTTTTCACTATTGTAAGCCATTTTCCTATAGTAATAATATGGCTTCTAAAATATAACGAATTCTTAAGAATTCTCAGCTAAGAACTTAAAATATCTAAAACTAATTACTTAATGTGTTCTATAAGATCTTATCTCAATAACTACAGTTCCATGTTAAAGAGTATATCAGTCCAAGAATTTATATTTTTAAACTCTTCTTGTTCTCTTGTACCCCTGTGTCTCACATGTCAGCAAATCCTTTCAACTCTCCCTTCAAAATACATCCAGTATCTAAGTTCTTTTTATCAACTACACTGTCCCACTCTGGTGTTGGCTGCTGTCATCTCTTGCCTTGAGAGTTGCAAAATATACTAAACTGGTCTCCATGTTTCTGCCCTTGTTTCTTATAGTTTATTTAAATACATTAACCAAAGTGTGTCACAATTCTTGGTAAGGATCTACAAAAGTCCATCTGATTTACCTTTCCGCAAATCTTATCACCTGATTAACTGAGTTCATCTCCCACCACTCTTTCCCCTAATTCATTCTGCTGATAGTCCAACTAAACTAGCTTTCTTCTTTTTTTACATATGATTAATTAATTAAAAGTTTTTTCTTCATTGTTGTAGTCCCCATAGTTCTCCCTCCACCATACTACCTGTGAATCATACCCATATTCCCCAAAGGAGATTCCCATATCTTTCCCCTGGGTTTCCCCTTTTTTTACCCCTTACTTTTCTATATGCCTCAGTTCCATCATCAGCTTGCTAGTTTTGACTTTTTCTTGACCTTGTGTTTGGTTTCTCTCTGTTCCACATATAAGTGAGACCGCCTGGTATCTTTTTGTTTTTTTAGCTACAGGTTCCTGCTGCCTTAGTGGCCTTTTCATTTACTATTCTGTGTCGGTTTTTCTCCCCTCATATTCTTAGATAGCTAATCCCCCACTCCTCCATGTATTTATGTTAAAAATCACTTAGTCAGTGAGGTGTTCTCTTGTCACTTATCTTAAATTCCAACCATCTACTGTGATCTCTTGTTCTCCCTTAGCAACTACCACTATCAAACATGCTGTATATTTGGGGGTGGGGGAGCCTGTCTTCCCCTCTATAGTGAAAGCTTTGTGTGTATGTATTTTTGTCATTTTTTTTTATGACTACCACCACAGTGCCAAGAATAGAATGTATGAAATATAAGTGGCATATATGGTAATATGTAACAGATAACCCCAAATTTATCAACTTAAAACAAAACCGCTATAGCTCTCAGTTCTACAGGTCAGAAACCTACCTAGGGTATGGGTAAGTTTTCTGCTCAGGGTATCACAAGGTTGGAATCAAGGCATTGGTGACTGGCAGTGTCCTATCAGGATCCCAGGATCCTCTTCCAAACTCATTAAAGTTGTGGGCAGAAATTAGTTCCTTACAGTCATGTTGTAATACTAAGGTCTCCATTTTCTTGCTTGCTTTAGTGAGTTTCTTGCCATATGATCTCCTTAGGCACTTCACAACAGTGCTATTTGCTTTCTTCCAGGCCAGGAGAATAGAGCCCTCTGACTTAAAAACCTTTGACTTCCTTTGAGATATCTGGGTTCAGGTTTAAATAGTGATTAGGTCAAAGTAAGGATCAGTAACCCAAAATATATCTGCAAAATCCATTTGCCTCATAAAATAACACCATGGGAATGATATCTTACTGTAATCATAAGTTCTTCCACCCTCAAGGGAGATGGAATTATAAAAGGGTGGGATAATCTTAAATTCTGTCTTTAGAGAGACACTCAATAACTTTAGAGAGACACTCAATAAGTGTTGATGAATACCAAATACCTCCTTATGGTCCTCAGTCCTCAACTGTGGTAATAGAAAACTGGGCAGAAAATTGAACATTAATACTGATATGCAGACAAAATGAAAAACAGTCAACTAAAACTATTTAAAGGAAATCACTATTTCTAGGTAAATTGAATATGTGGTTTTGATCCCTGTGCCCATTTCTTTAAATTCTATAAAAATATATAGAATGACTAAACAATGCTATTATTAACAAAAATGGCTACACAGATTCACCAGGAGCACACTAAACTTTTTAAGTGAATGGTTCAGGTAGTTTCTTTTTTTTTGTTTTTTTTGTTTTTTGTTTTTTTTTTAAGATTTATTTATTTATTCATACAGAACTGGGGTACAGGCCAGAGGCTCAGGGACGGTGAGAGGCTTCACCAGAGACAGAGTGGGGAGCAGAACAGGCAGATTGACGAAGTACACTGCTGAGGGGAGCAGCGGGCGGGTCAGGAGAGGTCTGGCTCGCCATGTGGTCTCCTCCGGGGCAGGCGGCAGGCGGGAATCGAACTCATGCGGAAGTGGCTTCAGATTCTCAGTGCTGTGCTTTAACCCGCTGCGCCACCAGGGAGGGCCCCAGGTAGTTTCTTAAAAATGTGGAAATGATCCAGTTTTTTGAATTGAGTTTGGAATGCAGAGTTGTTGGGTTCAACAGAACTTCCCTTCCAGTGGCATGCAGTGAGCTTTCACCTTAACACAGAGATGTTAGATATATTTAAAGAGTAGGTTTATTAGAAAAGGGACAGAAGAGGGCCCTCCCTGGTGGCGCAGTGGATTAAAGCATAACACTGTGAAGCTTGCCACAGACGCTTCAGCACAAGTTACATACCCAGCCAGTTTGGTGACCCACATGGCTCAGCAGATCTCACTTGTCTTGCCTCTGCTCCCCTCAGCAGTGTACTTTGTCAGTCTGCCTGACTCTGTCTCCAGTGACTCCTCTCTCACTGCCCCTGCACCTCTGGCCTGTACCCCAGTTCTGTATGCATAAATAAATGTCTTTTAAAAAAAAAAAAGAAAAAGGGCAGAAAAGAGAAGGACACTCGCATAGATGCAAATGGGCAGAAAGAGCTACCCCAAAAGGGACAGACTTGCTGAGAGAGGCCTGCATAGTTGCAGGCAGGAGGCCCTGAGGAGAGCTGCCGCTGCTGAGGGAGGTCAGTGAAGAGCAGCCCCAGCATGGTACAGGTCACAGGTGGGCAGAAAAGCTGCTGCCCATCTATGAGTGCTGTGCTGGGTTTTATCACCTTGTTCTGATTTAAAGTGTCTTATATTCATAAGTGGATGATTTGTTCCTTAATCCTCGTATCTTCAGACCTTCAGGTCTGTGCTCTTGACACTCCCTACAGCAGTCTGATAGTTTCTGTAGCTGGACTAATTAATGGCTGTGTTAATCCTTCTATCCCCCATCTCCTTGTATGAGACAGGTTCTTGACCTTGTGGCTTCCTTTCCAGTTTTTCTCTTCTTACCCTCCATCAGAAAACTCTATCATATGTCTATGAGTTATATGTAAAAATTATGGCATGCTCAAACAGATAATTTTAGGCAACAATGAAAATGGGCTATAGCCTACATGCAGCAAGCATCTTTTGTTTAATCGTATAGTCCTGTTGATCAAAAGAGGCTAGTTAAAAGAAAATACTTTATATAAACTTCAGAAACAGGCCAAACACGACTGTTGTGTTGGAAGCCAGGAATGATAGTTACCTTTTGGGAGACGAAGGGGAGTAATGACTAGGATAGAATGTGTGAATAGGCTTTTGGAAAGTTCAGGGCCCTCTGTTTCTAGATTTGAAAGGTGATTTTTAAGTTAGGGTTTTGCTTTGAAGTTTAAAGTATACAACTTTAGCATTTTAAGGATGTACTTAAACACATTTGAGGTTTTATCTGTGTTGTTTTAGACAAGTTCAAGTAAGGAAAAGTCTTAGATGTGTGTTTGTCATGCTTTATTACAGTCTGTGAGTGCCTAATAAATTCTGTGGGAGACCAATGTTTTAGAAATACATTTATTTGTTTTTGTATTACAGTTAGTTAGACTTATAAATGCTTACATTTGTGTCTCCTTACAGATGTGGAGAGATTATTCCCAAACGAGAACAATTTAATGACCTTTCCATAGATCTTCCTCGAAGGAAAAAGCCTCTTCCTCGTTCAATTCAAGATTCTCTTGATCTGTTCTTTAGGGTAAATAATGTGTTTTGGTATTTTCATATAACTAAAGTTATGTAACACAACTAATTGTATTTGATTTCTTTGAGACAGAATTTTAATAAAATTGCTTGCAGGGTAAACAAATGAGAAATATTTACAAATAATATTTTTAAAGTCTTGATAAATTGTGATTCATTTAAAGAAGAAAATTGATTACTTAAGTTGATTATGCCTTTAACTCAATAGCAATTGTTTTAGACAACCTTAGAAACAGTTTTTTGAAAACAAACATTAATTTGAAGGATATGAAGGGACATGCTAAAATTTGGTGATTCAAATTGAAGACACACAAGTTAAATATGCTAAGAACTGAGGGATCAAAAAATAACTCTGCTTTTTCTTAGCTTTTATGTACCCTGTTATAAACAAAAGGGATGAGTCTTATTTATCTCAAGCTGTAGATAAATATTTGTATCTGTGTTGCTGTTTGAAGTTAAGAAAGTTTTGGGGCCATCATTGAACTTACATTAAGCTGTAGTAGTTCTTTTATCTGATGGAAATTTGCTAGGATCTTCCTTTGGTGGTTCCTGTTTTGGTATTTCATATGAGCAGGTTTGTTTTCCTAAGTTTAAAAACAAAAAAACTACTCTTTAAATGCTGAATATTCAGCTCTCCCAGAGATAATGTTTTTCTTTTTGCTTTAATTATTTCTGTTAATATATTAGAATTTGAAGCTTTCCCTATGTATCTTAATTACCTGCATTTTTTAAGGATTTCTTGTTTCAGTTTTCTCTAGGTAATGATATGTACCCCAAACTTTGGTCCTTTTAGAGCAGTTGTTCTTAGTAGGCTGTCACCAGAAGATTGAGTTCCATTATAAGAAAGGGGTATAGTTACACCTAACTGAGCAGGAACTCCACCTAACCTGAAGGTGATCTTATCTCTGCTCTGTCCAAATGTTAAAATCTGGATATACAAGAGGAAGAGGTTGAGAATATGCTTCTTTAGAGTTTAGTTACTATCATAAATTGAGATGTTTCCTTGGAAAAAAAGGAAATTAGAAAATAAGGCATATAGTATAAAATAAATATATTTTGAGGGTTAGGTTTTAATTTTGTGAAGTTTGTGACAAAATTTAAACTGGTTTGAAGTTGTCATTCTATTGAAAAAGTGTGATGAGAGAAGATCATTAACATTTAATGGGATGAAGCTGCTTTAACTTCATGCTTCTTTATTTTTCCCTCTTATCATTTTGTAGGCAGAAGAACTTGAGTATTCCTGTGAGAAGTGTGGTGGGAAGTGTGCGCTTGTCAGGCACAAATTTAATAGACTACCCAGGTAAAATTAGTTACTTCTCAATTTTTCTTATTTGAAGTACAAATAAAAGTAAACTTACCAGAGTGGATTGTTAGAGAAGTTCAACAGAGCTGAAATATGAAGACAGTAGAAGCTGGAAAGCTAGAATGGGCTTGCATAAGAAAGGAAAGGATTTAGAATGTTGAAGAGGAGAAGGGACTTTTGAACATCCCCAAGAAGCTGTTGGTATAATGCTGACTGAAATGATAGGGACTAGCCAGTAGGTCTGTAATGTAAGGTATTTGTAGTTGTTTTACAGTGGCCTTCTCTCTCCCAGATCTGTAAAATCTGCTATAGATACATACATGAAAATTAAATAGAGTAATTTTCTTCAATTTGTATGTTCTTTTGTTCAGAAGATCTTTTAAGTTAGTAAGTTTGCTGTACTCATAATTTTTCTGAGTTAGGAGTGAAATTAATTTGTATTCCATTAGCTCTGTATAAACAAAAATAAAAACAAACTAGTTGTAAAATTATGATGTGGTTATAAGACAGCTTTTTAGTTCTTTCCAAGAACAGATCTCAACCACAAACAAGGTTATCATTAAGTATTTATATGGCACTTTTCCTGCAGAGTGCTTTTTTTGTTACCTTCTGTTGTAGATTTTCTGGAATCTAGCCCTAGGTGCTATTACTTCCACATTCCTCTTTCACCTTCCTTCCTAGAAAATTATTTTCTTTTAAAGAAATTATTTTGCATATCATAGCAATATTACTATGTTGGCCATAGTCTGTATTTTTTAGTTAACAGTCTTGTCCTTTAGTATTTATGTTCTGAAGCAGGTATATGGGAGGAAGAAATCTTAAGACAAAAGGTTGTTACCAGCTGTCATTAGCCAGTGTACATTAAAAATACTTACTTGACCTGTCAAGTGAAATGTGTCTTCCCTTTTCCATTCTCTAGTTATCTGGCTTTTGAAGGTTTTCTCCTCATTTACCTTTTTTCTTTCCTCTTAGGTCACTTAAGGTGTTAAAGGTCAACTTATTCCAAGCATACATGAACTAGAAGCCTTTGTATCATAAATCCTAGTTTTTGGACTTGTTCTGTTTTTGTAATTTTATTTTATTTATTTATTTTTCAAGATTTATTTATGCATACAAGAACTGGGGCATAGGCCAGAGGTGCAGGGGCAGGTGAGATGTTTCACTGGAGACAGTGGGAGAACAGGCAGATCTACTGAAATACACTGCAGGGAGGCCCCAGGAACACTTGATATGTTATTCTTCATTGAGCTGCTCAGTGCCTATGTTTTTTTGTACTTATATTCTTAGTACCTAGTACAAAGCCTGGCATGAGGCAGTATTTAGTAAATGTTCTTTGAATTGTATTCTTTAAATTAACAGCTGTTATGGTTAGATACAATGATGTCTTTTTTTTTTTTTTTTTATGTATACAGAACTGGGGTACAGGCCAGAGGTGCAGGGGTGGTGAAAGGCTTCACCAGAGGCAGAGTAGGGAGCAGAGCAGGCAGACTGATTAAGTACACTGCTGAGGGGAGCAGCGGGCAAGACCAGATGGGTCTGCCCTACCCTGTGTGTCATCTCCAGGGCCGGGGATCGAACTCACACTAAAGCGGTTGCAGCTAGCTTGCGGTGCTACATCCTAATCTATTGCACCACCAGGGAGGGCCCAGTGATGTCATTTTATCTATAAGAGAGTTGTCCCTATTGGATAGTAATGTTCTCATCTCCTATTTTTCAGGATCCTCATTCTTCATTTGAAACGTTATAGCTTCAATGTAGCTCTCTCACTTAACAACAAGGTCGGGCAGCAAGTCATCATTCCAAGATACCTGACCCTATCATCTCATTGCACTGAAAATACAAAACCACCCTTCACTCTTGGTTGGAGTGCGCATGTGGCAATGTAAGTCCATAGGAGAGAAATTCTTTACCTTCCCTTTTGAACTGAAAAGAGTTCGGAATCTTTCAGAACTTCAGTGTCTTCTACAAAATTTTCCTCGAGAAAGAGGTATTACTTATTTTGATTTTATACTTGAACATAAGGTAGTGTAATAGTTTTAGAATCTTAGAGCTAAAAGGGATGTTAGATTTTCTTCTTTTTTAAAGATTTATTTTATATTTTTATATATATATGTCATTGTTCATTTTGAAACTATATTTACTGTCTCCCCTCACCCCCAAAGATTTATTTATTTTTTGTGTAGAACTGGGGTGTAGGCCAGAGGTAGTGAACTGGGTTGAGGGTTGAGAGGATTCACCAGAGAAAAAGTGAGGAGCAGAACAGGCAGATTGACTGAAATGTACTGCTAAGAGGAGCAGTAAGTAAGACAGGAGAGATCTGTTGTGCCATATGTGGATTAGCTTCCTGACCAGGGTAAAAACGCAGGCTGTAGAAGTTATAACATGAGCCTGGACCACTAGGCCACCAGGGAGACTTGGGATGTTAAGAGATTTTCTCTAAATTATTAATTTATAGAGAACATCCAAGATTAACTGGAAGAGCTATGTCTCTTGAGTAAAGTGGAATAATAGACATTGCAGAAAATGAAGATTTACAACATGAATTGTTGCAGTTTTTTTTTTTTTTAAAGATTTATTTATTTATGCAGATAAGAACTGGAGTACAGACCAGAAGTGTGGGAGGGTAAGGGGATTCACCAGAGACAGTGAAGAACAGAACAGGCAAATGTACTAAAGTACAAAGCTGAGGGGAGCAGCAGGTGAGACAGGAGAGGTCTCCCTGTTGCAGTTTTATAAATTTGCTTTATTCAACCATTTGGTTGAATAAAATGCATACTACATTATGTAAATTTATACTAAAGGCTTAAAAATATCTATTAATAGACATGTGCCCAAGTGTCTTAGTGTTTCTGGTTTTCTCTATGGCCTTTCTTTGGGATTGCTATCTTTGATATAAATTGCTCTCTGCTGGTACAGCCATAAACACTGGCAGTAGTACCATACCAGTTTACCATGTAGACACTTTACCTCACACACCTAAAATCAGCTACAGTTTTAATAGCTTTTAGACTTTGAACAAATTCCTTGATCTGTTTTTATGGTGGGTGTGAACAATAAATGAGGTAATACACGTGAATTCTTAGTACATGCCTAACACATATCGGGTAAGTCCTCAATAAATGAGAGCTATTATTACTATTATATTGCTTAAAAGTAAAGAACTGAGACACCATAGTTTTTTCCAAGTTGTTTTCATATGCATTACATTTAACTTCATTTCCAGTTCTGTTTAGATTATTTTATGAGGGTAAGCCTAGAAATGATATTTTGTTTTTTCTTTTAGTCTCTATTACTAGTAAAAGTATAATGGTTGCTTTTTCTGGATATATAAAGGATTATAATAGAGAAAATTCACTTCATAAATTATATATATATTTTTTAATAACATAACTGTGTACATTATATATTTTCTAATTTTCTGATAGTTCTAGACCATTGAAAGCCTCTCAAATGGTGAATTCCTGCGTCACCAGCCCTTCTACACCTTCAAAGTGAGTTATATTCCCTGTGTACCCAAGATCTATATTTTTAAGAATTTGGCTTACCCTAATTTTCAAGTTTGTTCCCTCCTTTTCTTTATTGTTTCTCTTTTGCATGATAACTGCTCTATATTACCATATTTTTTGAATTTCCCATTGTCTGTTTCAAACTATAACCTAGGATTAACAAATTTTTAACAGTGACATAACTTCAAATGATCCCTTCAAAACTTTGTTTTAAAAACCTGTCGAATCATCTGTTATACTGTTTTCATTCTACAGTTCTAGAAATTGAGTGATGATGATGAATTTGATGAATTTTAAGGAGTAAAAATAAGCCCTGTTGGCATAAAGCCATTTCTCAAAGATAGGCATGGAAATCCAAAATATCTTTTCACTTGTTGCAAGCAGGTCTGGGACTGAACTGGAGCTGTTCAGAAAGGGGGCAGAAAAACAAACACAACACTGGAATGTAACTATTCAATAAATGTTTTGTGTTTTTTGCTTAAGACCAAAAGTTTATCCAAGGAGGGAAGAATACTTTTAATTTACCTCTACTGATTTAACTAGAGCCACAGTTCCTGATTTGATAATTCTAAATGACTTGGTGTCATTTGTTTTTAAAATTAGCTTTCCTAAAAACTTCATATCAAAGCACTCTTAGAAAAGAGACACGTTGTTTAAAGGTTTTTGGGGGGCTTATATAACCTAAAATGACTTTTGGGAACTGCTATTGTCTTTTCCTCCTGTTAATTATTTTTCAGTGCAATTAAAACAAGATGACTAACATGACTAGAAATCTGAAATGGTACCGATATGAATACTCTTGCCCGTTCTCAAGATACAAATGAGCAATACCACTTGGCTGCTTAGAAAGTGAGCAAGTGATGCATTTACAGGATGAATAATTTTCATTGCTACAGGCAAGCTGCCTTCTGTGAATATAGTAATTATTAATGGAATGCACTCTTTATGTACCAGATCACTAGTTTCAAGAAAGAGATGGTTTCATTGGGCATCATTATATTTGGCATGGTCATCTGTTCTCCAGGGTCTACTGATATATAAGAATTTGAGAGTTGTTCAGTAAAGGTTGATTAGGCCCTAGAAGACCTGTCATGCCGATCAAACTTAAAAGAGGCTGAGTTATAAACCAAAATGCCATTAGTTCTACAATGTCCTTTTTCACATTTGACCCTGCTACAGTAGTAGGCAGGAGTCATCCTTCAGCAAAGTATATAATTATGTGAACAAACAAATTAACAATGTTCAGTTTTGCTCGGTAAGCATGAAATCAGAAATGAGGAATTAAGATGGCTAATTGGCTATTTCTAAGTCATACTAACTAAAAACACTTGAACACATAATAGGAGGCTCTTCAAATGTTCAGCCTGGAGTGCAGTGATAACCTTCACTGCCATCAGCCACAGACTATGGGCTTGCCACTGACCACTTGCCTCTTTTCTTTGATCTACATTGCTGTGCAGTTCTCCTGATTTCCATTGTGGCCTTGTATTTCTTGGTGCCATCATTCTATTTGTTTATTTACAATTTTCACATTTAAATTAATTGCATTTTTCCATTTTACTTTTTTCTAGTATAGCATATGAATTTATTTTGACTTCCATCAAAGAGAGTTTGTACTCTTTGACCTCTATCACCTTTTTCCTTTGTTTTCAGCTCACTTAGAAGACAACACAGTAACACGTTACTTATCTGGTATCAATGAAGAATATTTGATATTCCACATAAACTAATTTTTATTAAACTAAAGCTTACTTTGTTAGCATCCATTAATCTTTTAAAAATGTTAACCATTTTAGAGGGCATATTCTCAATAACTTTATAGAATTACTTATATTCTTCAATAAATTGCACTGAATTTAATCTATTGTAACTAGATTCAGCATATGAGTGTTAGTTACTATATTTTTAATAATCGGCTCTTAATTCTTACAAAACAATTTACACTAAATCATTTTCTAGTTCTTTATTGTCCTTTCTGTGGTTATTTTCTTTCATCTCTTAGCTCTCATTTCTTGATGAACTTGCTAAATTATTTTATACACCATTTCCTGGGTAAGAAAAGGAAAGAGTCCCTTTCTAAGGAATAAAGTGCATGGGCTTTGAAACTGCTGACTTCCCCAGAAGTCTTTTTTCTTATTTTTGAATCCCTGTGACCTGGAAAGTAGAGGTTACCAGAAGTTTGACCTACATATAATTGGATAAGTGGAATGTTACTGTTAATTTAAAGTGCATGGATCATAATTTAAAAGATCAAAAATCAATCCTCATGCACTCTGTTGTCAGAGGCATTCATTGCTATGTCTGCATGCATTTAGTTAAATACTTGCTTTATAAGTACAATAAAAAAAATTGGGGTTGACCATTAAAAGAAATAATGCACAGAGTGATTGGTTATCAATGATCTATAGCGGCATAAGAGTTATCTAATTTTCGAAGCATGACTCTTTTGGATTGGGGCAAAGGTAATGCTTAACTTTACCTCTTTTGATATATCTTTTTTTCTCTGTTAAGTCATTCTCTGTAATGGAAAAGCCTTTTGTTTTATTTTGGTATTTAACATTAAAAGAATAATAAGGTGAAATGTTTATTTATCAGACTTGTATAGGTTTTTTTTTTCCCTTAAATTACAGGAATTTCACTTTCAAATCCAAGAACTCCTTGACTTTATGCCTTGATTCAGACAGTGAGGATGAGCCAAAACGCTCTTTTACCCTCAACCAGAGACATTGTGAAATATCAGGTAGTGAACAGCAGCAGCAAGACGATCTGGAAAAAGTAAGTACATTCTTATTAAAGTATTATCTACAAAGGTTTATATAGCACTGCTGTTCAAATAAGTGGCTTTTATAACCATCATTAAACTAAATAGAGTTGTAGATAAATTGCTTTCTCCTATTAATCTTTAGAATTTCTTTTACATTTTAGTTATCAAATAATTATTTGTTTTATTTTGAATATGGGGAACCATCGTAAAGGTTTTACATCATCAGGCTAACCAGGTCATCTAAAGGTTTAATGGGTATAAAGACCTAAGTACTTCATCTTCTATCTTGATGCTTTCTTTTCATAAAGTAATTATCATTTTTGTTCTTGTTTTTCATCTTACTTTAAAGCTGGAGATAATGTATTCATGTTGAATTAGGAATATTGACAAGACAGAAAGTCAGGAATTCCTCCCAGAAATGAAGTTATTAAGAAGCTTTTAAATATAATCTTAGAGTGACTTTTATTTTTAGCATTTATTTAAAAAAAGAAAAAAATTAAAAAGAGGCATGTTAGGTGATAATGACAGATACTTTACAATATTATATAATTCATGTATATCTAGAAGAAAAATATATCATCATAATTATCTGAGAAATTGGTTTTGATTGAATTTTTTATTTTATGTATTTTATATTCCAAATACATACAAAGAATATGTTTAACATTATTATAATAAAATAGCACATATCCTTATACAGTTACTATTTTTTTTTTTTTAATTAGACTTACCAGTGGACTTTACATGTTAGTTATTACTTGTCAGATAACCAAAGCTTCAAATAAAGGTAGCTTTTTAGATATAAACTTTCACTTTAAACTCAAGATTGCTATATTTGTAGGCATTTCGGTTTCCTCTAAAAGTAACTTTTCTTTAGGATTCAAAATCATGCAGAATAGAGCCTGATAAGTCTGAATTGGAAAACTCTGGATTTGATGGAATGAGCGAAGAAGAACTTTTAGCGGCTGTTTTAGAGATAAGTAAGAGAGAAGCTTCACCATCTCTGAGCCATGAAGAAGATGACAAACCGACCAGCAGCCCAGACACTGGATTTGCAGAAGATGATATTCAAGAAATGCCTGAAAATCCAGACCCTATGGAAACTGACAAGCCCAAAACAATCACAGAGCTGGGTAGGTTTGATGAACGCAGTATGTTTAAAGCAAGGTATAACTATATCCCAAGTTTTATAGTGACAGTTGTTTCTGAGTGACAGTAGGTGTGATATAGCTCTATCACAAAACTAATGCTGTTTTTTATGCCTTTTATTTATTTATCTATTTACTTATTTACTTTAAAGATTTATTTATTTATTCATAAAGAACTGGGGTATAGGCCAGAGATGTGGAGGGTGAGAGGATTCACCAGAGACAGAGCGGGGTACAGAACAGGCAGATCGACGAGGTACACTGCTGAGAGGAGCAGCGGGTGGGTCAGGAGAGGTCTGCCTCGCCATGTGGATCTCCTCCAGGGCAAGCAGGGATCGAACTCATGTGGAAGTGGCTTAAGCTTCTTTGTGCTGTGCTTTAACCCGCTGTGCCACCAGGGAGGGCCCTATTTATTTATTTTTTACTGTTCAAAAAACGAGAGGTAAATATTGAGAGTTGTATTCCAAAGGCTAGTGGTAAAGTGTGCCATATCCCTATGGGCATACAGCAAAAGAAAGATTAGTTTTCTTCTTTGCAAGTGTTTGTCAGTTTGGTTGTCTTTTCTCCCTGCTGTTATCAGAAATCTGTACATTTCTTCATTTTCCTATATCCTCATTACCCACTGACATTTCCAACTGCTACTCCATTGCTACTACAAAAATCTTTTGGTCCTTTAAAGTGCATGATGTCAGGGTCTTCCCTGGTGGCACATAGGTGAAAGCACAGCACTATGAAGCTATTCGCAGCCACTGCAGTGCGAGTTCAATCCCTGGCAAGGAAGGTTACCCACATGGAGGAGCAGACCTCTCCTGACCCACCTGCTGCTCCCCTAAGCAGTATGTTTCAATCAATCTGCCTGTTCTGTTTCCCACTCTGTATGGTGAATCTTCTCACCCCCTCCAATTATGGCCTATACCCATGTTCTTGTATGCATAAACAATAAATCTATTTTTAAAATAAAATTTTTAAAAAATTAAATAAAGTACATGACATCAGATTCTGACACCAATTATCCCTTCCCCTATTTGTCTTACCTTCCACTCACTGCCATCATCCTTCTGAGAACCTTCCATGTCCTCATAAACAACCCTTTCAACAGCCTGGTTTCTCAGTTTCTAGTCTTAATTCCAAAAAATTTTTTGTCTACCCTACAGTGATCACGATAAAATCACAGTAGTTCTGAAAGTTCCATCAGTATCATGTGGGAACTTGCTGGAAATTCATTCTGTTCTTCATCCCACCTCAGACCCGCTAAATGAGAGATTTTGGATGTTGGGCTCAACAATCTGTTTTTATTACAAGTGATTTTAATGCATGCTGAAGTTTGAGAACCACCTTAAACTTGACCACCATCAGCATCTGTACCACTTTAGAGAAGAAAAATGGTGGATGGATTTAAGAGGAAGTTAGGAAATAATTTTTTATCGTCAGATGAGGAATAAATAAGAAAAAGTCAAAAGTGTCCCCCAGATCTCTTATTTTAAAAAGTTCTGTGTCAGCTAAAATGAAGAATGTAGGAAAGGAGCAGACTGCTGTTGGAGTTTGCTAAGAAGCAGATAATGCACTCAGAATGAGAACATGGCTTCCCTTTGATTTGTGTGCAGATTCCTTAAAAGCAGATTATTATTTTCTGGTCATATTTATTCTCATAATTCTTGAGTAGTTTTTGTATATTGTATAATCTTACTCTGAATACACATATATATTGAATTTAGTGTCTCAAACTTTCTTGATATGTTTTCTATCCTGTGAATTAAATGTTAGCATAATTTCAGGATTGTTTGAGATACAGTGGTATATTGAGTATCAAAAGTTATTAAGAAAAAGGATACCTGTCACGTTTCTTTTATGAGTAGATTTTGATAACAAAAGTAATAATACTCATCTTACACCCTAACACGACACTCTCAGCTCTTATTCTAACTTCCACTCAAAATGTTCAATATTGTTAATTTTGTCTTAGTTCCAAATTACCAGAAGAAGCAACCTGATTGATTGACTCAGATATCCATTGCTGGTTCAGTAAATTAAGGCCAAAGGGACAGACAGGGTCTTGTAAATTTTAGATTATGGAAGTGGGTGTTTCTCTAGGAGTTGCGGAAAGTATTTTAAATTGAGATCCTATTGTTTTTAAACTTAAATTAACCCAAGTTTCTTACTGATTACTCAAAATTTGTTTTAATACAAATATCCTGTTAGTATTTCAGTACAGTTGAAAAATTAAAACTCTTTGCTCATTTAGAATCTAAAATCAAAATGCGATAAGCCTCAGAGTAGTCTGTGTTGTAGAAAAGTAGCTATCATTTAAAAGGGTGAAATGCAGTGTTAGATTAACAGTTTATACAGATATTTAAAGAATCCATAAAAAATGAATTTAAAGGTAATTCTTACTGATCGGACAGTTTCTTTTGATAAGAATTTCCTTAACTTATTAAGATGAGACTTTCTACTTGGGTAAAGTTTTATAAGTATGATGCATATGTGTAAGTCTTATTAGAGAAGAATTACTTTTGACTTATATTGCCAGTATTAAAAATTATTTTTTATTTTTTTTAAAGATTCATTTATTCATGCATATAGAACTGGGGTACGGCCACATGTGCAGGAGTGGTTAGAGGATTCACCAGAAACAGAGTGGGGAGCAGAATGGGCAAACGGACTGAAGAGGGCAGTGGGTGAGACAAGAGAAGTCTGCCACACCATGTGGGTCGCCTCTCTGGCCAGGGATTGAACTTGGGGTGAAGCGGCGTTGGCTAGCTTTGTAGTGCTGCACTTCGACCTGTTGCACCGCCAGGGAGGGTATTAAAAATTATAAGGATGTTTTTGCTTTCAAAATGCAAATAGCCAAAGCAAAATGGTGACCATATTGTTCATTCCAACTAACCATAGTCTAGGGATTCAGAAGGTGCAGAAAGAAGGTTATCATAGATTTGTGCAGCTCATGTGATATGTGTTGCTGATACATACTTTTGCAGCTCTTTTGATTTAGAATATATACAATTAGATTGTTATTACTTATTTGATTACTAATATGAAAACAAGCTCATCAGTTTCTGTGGTTTATAATTGTTAATTTTGTCTAGCCTAATTCTTATTTCATTTACTGTAAACAATAATACTATGTTCCTGTTACTTGGTCATGTGACATTATGATCTACTGGTGGTATGAATTTATTCTTTTCCTTCCTGAACCATAGTGTGCGTGTGATGAGAGGTTAAGTTTCAGAACCATTGCTTTAAATCAGTGGTTCTTAACCAAAGACACTTTTGTCCCAAGGGTATACATTCGACAAAGCTGTGACATCTGTGGGGAGGGAGTGCCACTGCCCCAGTTGCAGGCAAGTTGCTAAACATAATGCAGTGCACAAAGTCCCCCTCCTCCCAACAACAAATTATCCTCTCCCCTGTGACCAGGCTGAGAAATCCTTATCTAGATACAGTAAAATGAAATTGTATGTCCTGGGAAATTTATGGGTGAGAGTAGGATAAATTATTCTTTGGACAATAGTTGTCACTGTAGTCCAGAGATTTCAGTTTACTGAAGATTTCCCAGTTTTGATATGTTCTACTTCTTCAGATTCCACCAGTTTTACTGAGATTGCTAAAGACTGTGATGAGAATAAAGAAAACAAAACTCCAGAAGGATCTCAAGGAGAGGTTGATTGGCTCCAGCAGTATGATATGGAGCATGAAAGAGAAGAGCAAGAGCTTCAGCAGGCATTGGCTCAGAGCCTTCAGGAGCAAGTAAGAGATTTTATGTTATAAAATCTTCCTCTGTACCTATCTTTTCCAAGAAATAAGATACAGCAAGTCATTGATCCATCTGTGAAAAAGAAAAGTAGAGTTTGGGGCTTTTCCTTGCCCCCCCCCCTTTTTTTTTAAAGATTTATTTATTTATGCATATGAGAACCGTGGTGTAGGACAGAGTGGGGGGTAAAACACGCAGATCTACTGAAACACACTGCTGACGGGAGCAGCAGGCAAGACAAGAGAAGCAGGCAAGACAAGAGAGGTGTGCTCTGCCATGTGGGTCTGGGTCCTGGCCTGGGATCAGACTCATTTGCAGTGGCTGGCAATAGCTTGATGCTGTGTCTTTTAACCCCTGTCCCACCAGGGAGGCCCTGTGTTTTGCATTTGAAACAGAAACATTGATAGTTTTTCTATTACTGAAAATCCAGATGCAACAAAATGTATTGTTGATTACTTGGCAATCATTGCTAAAGCAAGATGATTCTAGTCTGCCTTTATTTTTTTGTAAGCTACAGAAACAACCATTGCACCACTGGTGTATTTGTTTTGGGCATTTTCTTACAATATTAATCCTTTCTATGATTTATTTGAACATAAAATTTCAGGAATATCATCTGAAATTTCAGATATTAGTCACAGACTAACAGCTGCACTTTTCTTTATGTAACTGTTATTCCAGTTTTTAGTTCTTTTTGCCAAAACATACTGATTTTTACTATTGCAGTTACATGAGGTATCTAAAGTAATATTCTTAAAGTTTCTAATTCAATGCAATGCAATCCAGTAAATATTTGGTAATAAATATTTACCGGGATTCCCTTGAATGAATGTACAATTTCAGTGTTTGCACAGAATCAAATTAAGAAATATGATTCCTTGAGAACAGTATTAATCTGATCTTTTATTCTTAGCCTTAACTGTATAGAACTGCTCTTTTATTCTTAGACTTAACTGTATCTTTAGAAAATAATGGCCCTCTCTGGTGGCACAGTGGGTTAAAGTGCAGTACTGCAAACTAGCCACAGCTGCTTCAGTGTGAGTTTGATCTCCAGCTCCCCTCCCCATCCCTCAGGTGACCCACATGGCGTGGCAGACCTCTCCTGACCCACCCTCTGCTCCCCTCAGCAGTGTACTTCATCAGTCTGCCTGTTCTGCTCCCCACTCTGTCTCTGGTGAATCCTCTCACTGCCTGTACCCCAGTTCTGTGTACATAAATAAATAAATCTTTAGAAAAAAAGCCCCCAGAAATTCTAATGTCGTTGGTCTAAGGTGTGGTCTGGGCATTTAGATTTCTTTCTTTTTTCTAATAAGGGTTTTTTGAAAAACTTCCCAGGTGATTTTAAAGTACAGCTAAGTTAAAAATTACTGCTTTAAAACCATTTCAGAACCAACTCTTCCTTATTCTATTACTTATAAGAAGTACCTCCCTACCTGTCTTTATCACCAAGGTAATATACTTGACAAACAATTTTATAGTTATATTGCAATCACTTGTTTTAGAAATCTTACTTTTTATATAAAGTAAGATTTTAAGATTATTTTAAAGATTTAGTTATTCATACAGAACTAGGGCACAAGCCATAGATGCAGGGTCAGTGAGAACATTCACCAGAGACAGAGCTGGGGAACAGAACAGGCAGACTGATGAGTACACTGCTGAGGGGAGCAGCAGGCAGGTCAGGAGAGGTCTATCACTCTCTGGTCGGGGATCGAACTTGTTCTGAAGTGGCTGCAGCAGGCTTCATAGTGCTGCACTTTAACCCATTACAACACCAGGGAGGATCCCAGAACAGTAGTTCTTTATAGTGCAAGAAAAAAATAATTGTATCACCCCTCTTTTTCATAGACAAAGGCTTATATCCTATGTCTTGTCAGCTTACCCAATTAAAAGTCTCACTTAGATGGTAGAAATAGGATTATAAAATGAAACTTAATTTTATATACCTGCATAATTCTATTAATAACTAAAAGGGAGTCTCAGTCTGATTTCAGTATAGACTTTATATACTTGGTTATTTAAAGTAATCATTTCTTCTTAAAAAGTATCTCTGTTACTATTGTGATGTTGTGCAAGGCCACACTGATAAAATTGGGAGTGGGTGGAGCAGGCTACATAATGCAGGATGCTGCTGAAGAGCAAGATCCTGGCCTTGTCATTGATCAAATAATCACACAGTATCAGCTATAGGCGGAAGTAGGGAAAAGGAAAAGAAAGGGTGGGACTGTCATCCATAGTATGAGGGATTGTGAGTCTGCACTCCAGGTGCTTCTCATCTGTGTGAAGACTCACTATTGTAATTGAGTCCCCAGTCAGGGTTTAAATCTTATCAACACGGTGTTCCATTTATCAGCCCCTGGGTCCCTTGTCATGCATTGGTCTTCAGCGCCTCCAGGTGCTCCTGGTCTTACCCGTGATGTGTTGGGAGTAATACATCCCTCATCAGCCCTCCTCACCCCCCACCCCCAGAGTGATCAAGCTTCCTACTTAATGATTTGAAAGGCACCTTGTAAGGTTTGGCTCCTGTGACTGAGCAGCTGGTTTCTGCAGGGCAGTTCTGAGCTTGTATAGGAATGCAGCAGGTAACAGGACGATGGCCCAGCGGGCCGCTTAGGATTAGCAGGCCCACATGTTACTTTCTTGAGTGGAGTAGTATTGTAGGACTAAACTGCAGAATAGCTCGTTCTAAGTTTCTTTTTATTTTAATACGTTTAAAAACCTGTGTAGGTTAAGAAAAACAATTCTGAATTTCCTTGCTCATGCATTGTTTGTAAATTATCTTTTACCTGAAAATGAGAAGGAGAAAATTTCATAGTGAACATTTCCCCATTCCTTTTTATAATTAGTCATCTAGTTGAGACTAGAAGTAATTTAGTATTTAGTAAGCATCTGCTATATGATTTGTTCTCTTTAACAAGAATGACATAATTATATGAGTAATACTGTTTATCCTGCTGTCATCGACTTAGTAGTGTGAACCAGCTAACTATCAGCTTGGGAGAGCCAGCTCTGCATTAAGCATTATATCCATAGCTTAAAATTGGCTGAAGTGAAAGGATTTGTACCGTGGAAGTTAGCAAAGCTGTCAGTTGGGAAAGGAAAGAGCAATTTGCTAAGTACCTACTGTGTATCTACTACATACATACTGTGTATCTTCATACATAAAGGATGACGAGGAATTACAATGTCATATTGAATGGCATTTGATTGATAAGCCAACCTACAACCCTCAAGGTTGTATTTTAGGACAAGTTGGGGAAATATCTACACAACCCCTAGGAGATCATCTTTCAAATGTCCATAAGCGTTTGGAAAACATTATTTATCCTCAATAAATAAGTTTGATCAGTACCTCTTAAATAATCTTAGTTTCATTTTCATCCCTTTAGGAGGCTTGGGAACAGAAAGAAGATGATGACCTCAAAAGAGCTACAGAGTTAAGTCTTCAAGGTGTGAAGCTTATCTTAATCACTTTTATTTAATTTTTATTTATGTGTAGAAGAACTGGGGTATAGACCAGAAGTGTGGGAGGTGAGAGGATTCACCAGAGACAGACTGGGGAGCAAAATAGGCTGATTACTGAAATACACTGCTGAGGTGAGCAGCAGGTGAAACAGGAAAGGTCTGTTGTGCCACATGTGGGTCACCTCCTTAGCTGGAGATTGAAGTTGTGCTGCAGTGGCTGTGGATAGCTTCATAGTGCTGTGCTTTAACCCATTGGGCCAACAGGGAGGGTTGGTTTATTTATTTCTAATGAGAGTTCTACCCCCTTTCATATAAGTACAGTTAAAAAGAATAAGGAATGTTCCTTTTCCAGATGCCTGTTACCTGAATTGTTATTCCCCAAAGTGGGTATATTGGAACCCTATCAATAATGTTTTGTTTTCTTAGGATGGTAAAATATGTATCAAGCTGCTTTTATTTGTATTCCAAGAGCTTTAACATGACTGTCTTTGTTTTCTTCAGAGTTTAACAACTCTTTTCTGGATTCATTGGGTTCTGATGAAGACTCTGGAAATGAGGATATTTTAGATATGGAGTACACAGAAGCTGAAGCTGAGGAACTAAAAAGAAATGCTGAAGTAGGTGACATTTTACATCCTTAGCTGAACTGTCCAGATTGTTCGTGTTACTCCTGCTCTTTGCCTTCAAAGCCTTACTGTCAGTGTCCATTGCAGGTCATTTCTGCCCTTCGACGGCCATCAAAAAATCTTTACTTTCTCTGATGTTTTGCTTCTTGTTTCTTACACTTCCAGTTCAAAATAAAATGAAACAAAAACATCCATCTCAACTACTTCATTACATGTAGGTAACAGTTGAGCAACAGGGCTCTCAAAAACCCTATGTATGTATAATTACCTTTCTTTCAAAATATAAACACCAAAACTAACTGGTTTTTACTCAATGAAAAAGAATTAATGACCAATGCAAAGGAGTTTGTCTGGGCGCCAATGAGTTGTAGCATCTGTCTCCCAGTGTAGAACAGACTAAATGGTCTGGAGCCAGAATATCTTGAAGGTGTAGGGTCTCATATCCCACTGTGGAGCCAGCTGTCGTGAAGACAGCCAAGTGTCCATGCAGCAGGTGCATTAGTACTTTGACTGGTGCTGTGCCTCCAGCTCAAACCCAGGCCCAATGACCAATGAGTTGGAGAAGTTCCAGGACTCACTGCCATAGTGCACTATGTATTGCAATGGCAAGGCCAGTGATTGAAGAGGTGCAGAGATAAAGAGCTTCAGCTGAAGTGTTCTATGATCAAGTTCATGAAACTGCATGTACCTCATGACCAAGAAGAAAAAGGAGTCTTGCCGTTAACCATTGGGGCGCAGGGCAGGCATTATTTAAAAACAAAAATGAGATTTTTTTTTTTTTTTTTGCATAGAAGGATTGGGGTGTAGGCCACAGTTGTAGGGAGAGGATTCATCAGAGACTGACAGAGAACAGGTGGATTTACTCAAATACACTGATAGTGGGAGACGTAACTGGTGAGACGGGAAAGACCTGCTGTGCCATATGTGGGTCAGCTCCCTGGCCAGGAATTGAACTCAGGCTGTAGCTGTGATAGCACAGAGACTTAAACCCTAGACCACCAGGGAAGCCCCAGAATTTTGGTCTCTTAAGAAAAGCTTTTGAAGGATGCCAGCAAGTTTAAGGCACATGTCACTTAAGAACTGGTTTCTTTGTTTCAGTCCTATAAAGTGAAATAGGAAAATTTGGGTCAGACAGAACAAGAGAGTTTTCAGAAGCTTAAATTTCACATGTCAAGTATTTTTCCTCACACTAGGAATTTCCCTTGTAACAAACCAAAATCCTCCCATGCACCAGACTCTTCTCAGCATAAAGATGGATCTAAGCTGGCAGGTTCCTCTAACCTGCCTATGAATGTGAGGAGACGTATTTGTTGCCAAGTTCCTGTTGACCACAGAGACCCCACATTTCCCCTACGCTGTAAAGCAGTCCTTGAGTTCACTAGTTTGAAAGGGGGAAAGGTCTTTATTTTGGCTGGTTTTGCTTTATATATAAGGGCATATAGTTGATTTAAGGTGTGGAGTTGCGCCCCCCCCCCACGCTACCCCACCCCCACTCCCTGTGGCTTAACAAGTTAAAACACAGCACTGTGAAGTTATCCACAGCCAGTGCATTAGATCAATTCCCAACCAGGGAGGTGAACCATATGATGTGGCAGATACCTCCTGACCCCGCCGTCTACTCCCCTCAGCAGTATATTTCAGACAGTCTGCCTGTTCTGCTCCCCACTCTGTCTCTGGTGAAGCCTCTCACTCCCCAACACCTCTGGTGTGTTCCCTAGTTCTTGTATACATAAATAAATCTTTTTAAAAAAAAAATGTGGAGTTGGGAGATCAGGGTATTTGGATAAGAACTTGGAAAAGTGCTTTGTGAACATATTACTTCCTGGCTTTTAAGATGTGGCTGTGTATTATTTAAAATTCTCACACATCTTGGCTTGGAGACTGCAAAAACATGAGAGAGAGTGTCACACTGGTTGTGGGAAAGCGCCCTTCTCACTGGCTGCTTGGGATGGGCCCAGCAGAATGACAGGACAGTCTGGCATTGCCCCTTATAGGACAGGGCTTTGATTATGCTAATGTCTTGGAATGATAGTAAAAGAGGCATTGTTGACTGCTGAAGTAAAAGAATTACAGAAAACCTGGCTTTCCAGAACAGAATGCAACAAAAGCCCTAAACCCAGTACTGCTCACCTAACCTCCTGAGCTAGCATAGCCCTGCTGAGACAATCCTTTGACAACAGGAAAGTCAAGGAAGTAAAAGTAAGCAACTAAGGGCCTAGGAGGAGCCACGTCACTCCTTTAACACAAAGGAGGGTCAGCCTCCATTGCCAAATACAACTCTTCTGGCGTTTTTGCCCCAGCTCTAACACCTCCTTTTGAGAAGGACCTTGTCTGTTTACCAGTTTGCAACTTGAAATGTTAATATAGGATGTTTGCTATTTCAAAATTGTGTTACATAGTTTGTAAGAGGCGAACTATTGAATAACTATTGAATAAGTTAACTAGAACACATTTGAATCTTTGTTTATACTTCTTTTTCCTTAAATAATTGCTTTACCTACCTGTATTCCAAATTTTCTATATTTTAATTATCTAGGCTTTCACTACACTAATACTATCACTTAATTTTTTTTTAAAGATTTATTTATTTATTCATATGGAACTGCGGTAAGGCCAGAGATGTGGAGGGTGAGAGGATTCACCAGAGACAGAGCGGGGAGCAGAACAGGCAGATCGATGAAGTACACTGCTGAGGGGAGCAGCGGGCGGGTCAGGAGAGGTCTGCCACGCCATGTGGATCTCCTCCAGGGCAGGCGGGGATCGAACTCATGTGGAAGTGGCTTCAGCTTCTTAGTGCTGTGCTTTAACCCGCTGCGCCACCAGGGAGGGCCCACTATCACTTAATTTTTAACTAACATTTAGAATTTAACTTGCTTCTACTTCTTCACTAAGATAAATAATACACTGAGGAATTCTGTACGATTGTAATGTTTTCTGTATTAAGGATTTTCTTCTTTAAGTAAATACCCAGAAATATAACATCAAAGTTTATGAATGTTTTACTAGTTTCTGGTTTCCATATCTATATTTCTTCCAAAAATTTGATCTTACAGTGCTAGCTGTAGTGCATGATACCACTCTTCAGTTTTGCTTTAATTTTCTAACAATATTTTAATGCATATTTAAACATACTTCCATGTATGTTCACCCATAACCCTTTCCGCAGCACTCTTCATTTTTCCCATTCTATTTTCCAGTTGTCTAACCTCAGTACATACTTCTGCAAAGCTATGTGGCTATTAATGTGCATTCATGTGGGTATGAAAAACACATTAATGCAGTGACTCATAAAATGTTTTTTAAATAATTGGGTGATACTGTATTGAGTTAGTATACCTCTAGTCGTTACACCATTGTTGCAGTTATTGTTAGTGCCAGCTTTTCATTATTATAGATAGTGCTATACATATACTCTTGTTTTAAATCATTTTCTTAGAGTAAGTTCTTAGGGGCCCTCCCTGGTGACACAGCGGGTTAAAGCACAGCATTGTGAGGTTGTCTGCAGCCACTGCAACATGAGTTCAAATCCTGGCAAGGGGGGGAGAAGGGGACCCAGGGACCCATATGGCACAGCAGACCTCCTGACCCACCCGCTGCTCCCCTCAGCAGTGTACTTCACTCGATCTGCCTGTCCTACTCCCCAGTCTGTCTCTGGTGAATCCCCTCAACCCCTGCATCTCTGCCCTGTACCCCAGTTCTTGTATGTGTAAATAAATAAATGATGAGTTCTTAGTTGGGAGTAGAATTCTTGGGTTCCATGGGTATGAACAGTATCAGCCAATGGATTTTTTTTTTTTTTTGAGTTTTGTTTTATACACACTGAAGCTTAACCATGTCAGCTCTATTAATAAATGCGAATTTAGTGTTTTGTTTTTATGTGGCTGAAGAGTTAACAGTCAGGCCCACTTCTTTTTTCCAGACAGGAAATCTTCCTCATTCGTATCGGCTCATCAGTGTCGTCAGTCACATTGGTAGCACTTCTTCTTCAGGTAAGTGGACATCATGACTCAGCATTTGTTCCCTGTTACGTTGCTCTGCCAACCTTATGACAGATAAGTAGAATTCGTGAAGAAAAACATTGAAATATTTTATTTGATCATATTAAATGTGAGTTGTATTAACAGGTGCAGCTATTTTGATTTCTCTTTTCATAAAGTATCAAAATTTCCCTGAACAAAATATATTTCTCAGAAAGTTTCACAGTATGTTATATTCTAGCAAGCTGTATGTGCTTGCTGGGGATAAGGTGGTAGAAAAGGTGACTGTCTCTTTATCTCTCTGAAACTTCTGTTTCAGGAAAATTCAGTATGTTCTTGAAAAAGCATTTTTAAACTGTTTATTTCAGGGCATTACATTAGTGATGTGTACGATATTAAGAAGCAGGCGTGGTTTACTTATAATGACCTGGAGGTATCTAAAGTCCAAGAGGCTTCTGTGCAAAGTGACCGGGATCGGAGTGGCTACATCTTCTTTTATATGCACAAGTAAGAAACTTGCCAATTCCAAAGCAGGAACTAAAAATCCAAACTCCTCCTTCTTCCTTTAAGATAAATGTTCCCATCACTTAACTGGTAGACAGTTTTTCGTTTTTATTATCTTTGCTTAGGGCTCCTCTCATACTATGAGTCCAGAATATTCTCTCTCTTAATTTAGCATTAAACACTTGTCACACATTAGCATCCAGATATAAAATTTTTCTGATAGAAGCTGCCCTATCAAACCTTTTTGATATTGCCAATATGATTAACCAAAAGATCTGATTTAAATGAATGGGAACTATAGTAGCTAGCTATTGCCAGTCCTTTCTTAGTTTTCTTAAAAACCAGCACTAAGGATTAAGATGGTGATCCAGTGAGTTGTTTGTTTAATAAAATTTAGGCACTTACTGGTAGTAAGCAGCCTTTATTGCTGTCACTTCACTCTCATCCATTGTCTTTTCTGCACTGACTCTCCTATTTTATTTTCTGTTTGTCTTATTTTAAGGGAGATCTTTGATGAACTGCTTGAAACAGAAAAGAACGCTCAGACACTTAGCATGGAATCGGGGAAGACTACTCGTCAGGCCTTGTGAGAAACAAACTCCTGGGTTGGCAGTATGTACTGTGTAGTCTGTTGCCACCCACTCACCCTTCCTCTGCCCAAGGAGAATTTGGAACTCTACTTGATGCGGGAGCAACATACAGCTCAGGGCCAAACCAAAAGACGAAATTGCAATTATGTGGAATGCTCCATGCTAATTGTTTATGGAAATTTGGTCTCACATCTGTAGCTGATTATCCTCTTTTTCTCCTACAAGAGTGGCACTTCCTTCTGTCTTAGGAATACATGTTGTAGATATATATAATTATGTGTGTACATATTTACACACACACCTGTATGTGGAATGAATGGAACCTTGGAGTTAGAATGAGCCACCAGCTCAAAATTAATAGCACAGCAGTTTGGAGAAGTGAAGTTGTCAAAGGTCCATTCACCTGAGAAATGTGTAAAGATATACATATCAGTTGGCATTCGGCTTTTATTTTCCTGGAATAGTTTGACTCAAGTCTGTAATCTTGCATATGTGTTACTTACTAGTAAAGTTCACTGGAAAGCCTGCTCTCCATGTTACACTAATAACAGTTTCTCCTCATTGCAAAGGAGGAGCATTTCTGCCACCTAACTTGAGCTTTTTTTTAAAAATTATTTCATGGATTTGTAACGCTTTTGCTGTTTACATGCAGTCCCAAGAAATGGGTTGTCGGTGCTTTGGAATGTGTTGTGCTCCCTCATTTGGTGTTCTTTTTACCCTTTGCATTTTTTTTTTTTAAAGAGATTCCTTCATACGGTCTCTTCATTATATGTCAACTATATTGTTATGGTGGTAAAGGTAGAATCTTCTATTTTCTCTTATATCATTCTTCCATGGAATAAGCATTACCTTAACAGATTGCCACCAGAACTCTTGCTAGGAATATAATTATCCAATTGGGACTCCCCATGACACTTAGGGGTGAGGAATGTTAGCATCACTGTCTCTCGAGCATAGAGAGGATAAGAGCAGTATTCTTGTGTTAAAACTGCAGCTCTGGACCACCATGTTGCTGAAGGCCCTATCACAGGTGTGAAATTAAGTACATGAGCTATGGGATAAAGGTTGAACATTTCACCATTGGCTCTCTGACTTTATCATTAAACAGGGTGGGAATTACAAATGTGATTCATACCACAATTCCAAAAAGTTAACAAATAACAAAGGTGCATAATATATTTATCTTATTTTTTAGGTGCTTTGAATTGAGGCTGGGGTACAGCATTAAGTGCTACATTAGTCACTCAGCTGACATAACAACTTGGTTAAGCAGCTTGAAAAACCATGTAAAGAATGAGTTTGAGGGGAGAATTCTGTCCACAAAATTTGGAGCCCAGGAATCATTAGAATCTCACAGTTAAGTATAGCAAAATATAAACAGTATTTTTGTTCATGGGTGTTTTGTTTTTTTTTTTTTTTTTATAAACAAGGCGATTTCAGTACTGAGCTAAGGACAAAACCACATCAAGTTTTCAAGAGAAGAAAACATACTTTGAAATGTACTTTAGTACATCATCACAGAAGGTATAGCATCTTTTCTGAAAGTTTGCCTTAACAGAGGTCCACTCTTGAAACTAGGATATGTTCCCACATAGTAACTTGCTCTAAAGGTTTGGATCTTTGAACTACTATCACTTTTGCTTAACTACTGATAAAAACTTTACCTCCTCTTATCATCTACCTACACTTTATTGTAGTAAACATTCTGAAATGGTGTGGTGGCAGGGTATGCAGGAGTAGAATAGAGCAGCGGAAAATACTTGTTTTAAAAAGTAGATTTCTAAATTTTGTTTTCTACAAAGAGAATCTCTTTTTTGCTTGGAAACAAGTGCTTTTCTCATAAATGAATGATCAAATTCTTTAACTGTTTGTTCTCTGTGTCTGTATTTGAATGGCACTGTTAAAAATGAGTGGGACTAATTTGAAAGTCACATTCGCTTTTCTTTACTACCTGTACCACCTGTGTGTGGAGAGTGGGGATTTGAAGTGAGGACTGCACTAGGGCATAAAGAAAAATAGAAATGCCGTAAGCCTAGAGTGCCTCATTTGACTTGTTTTTTATAACTTGCATATGTAGATGATTTAGAGGTGCACTTGGCTCAGGAACCTTTTCTGATTGATCTTCGTGTCTTGGGCAAGCCTTATTAGTGAGAAAATAGGCTACTGGAGCAGATGAGCTTTTTTCACAGTTCATATAGTCAAAAAATTGGGGCTTGATTTTACGTAATATCTGACCATTGCTGTGACCTGGTCAGCCACCTTATCCAGCTTTACTCCTTTACTGTTATCCCTTTCACTGTAGTAAACTTCTCATTTTATTTATAGTGAAGGGTTAGTGGCAACAGATGGAAATTTCAGCTGGAGCATGTTGATGTTTCTTGGAGTTGACTGTATGTATTTAAAATGTGTAAGTAGATAATATATTATTTTTTATGCGAGGTACGATCGGTTTGCTCAGAATCGGGGGCGGGGTATTTGGCATGTTGGGGCAAGGAAGGGACAAGACAGGTGCGAACAGAGTGCTTCAGTCCCAGGCAGCCTCACAGTTACTAACTAGAAATTACCAAATGTGTTTGTATTACTTTAAATGGACTGAATTGGAACTTGACAGCACTTAGTTCTGTACATGTTGATCTTAATTAGAAATTTGGGAAAAGCAGAACTAAACTGAAGCTCAAGCTCAATGATTATTGTCTAATAATACGGAGAAATGGAAAGTTGCATGTAGCCAGAAGCTATTTTCACGTTAGTTGCCATGACTGTAACTTGGGCCTATGAGAAGATAAACTTGTAGGAAATACACGTGTGTGCGCACTCAAGTTTCATTTCAACCAGGTAGAATAAAAAGAATATCCATGAATTGTTCTATTTATATTTTTGATTCCAAAAGCTATTTGTTTACTTGCCATGGTCTGTGAATTTCAGGCCTAACTTGATGGCTCAGTAACAATGTAAATGTGTTTACATCTTAAGACTTATATGGTGATACTTACAGGTCAGCTAATTAACTCTGGAAAGCAAATACTAGGTTACACATTTATTTCTCTCCTTGATCAAGTGTAAAATTCTTCTAGAAGCTTTAGGAATTAAAACCGCAACAAGTGAGGTTATGAATTTACTATTATTCCACACTGCAGTTACCATTATGTAACTGTATAAATACAGCTCTACTCATGTACAGCTACAGATATAGTTGTATAGTGAACATTATCTGGAAACACCTGAAACTAAAGAGATTATTGGTAGTGTTTCATATATAGCTATTAAGAATATAGAGAGAATATGGTGGAGGAGAGGGCATTTGAGAACAGAAAAAAGGTAGTTTGTAAACTAATTTGTGATCTATTGAAAAGAGATATTAAAACAAATAGAAATACTATTCTTCTCTTTGTTCTCTAAAATGAATACAGTGGATACTCCTAGTCATCCAGCATTTTAATCCCTCCCCACCCTATTTGATTTGATTAACCCCTTTAGATGGTCTTTTAAGTCAGGGAAGCAAAGGTGTATTTCCAAATGTGTCGCTTTTTTATACATACAGGGACTCTCAGAAAAACCAACAAACTAATATCAGATGCAATCACATAAAAATAAAAGTGTCCCCCAAAAGTCTCCCATTCCTGCTTTACACTGAGTAATGCTTTCTCACACATGTGTGTAGAAATTAAACAGACTTGTGCCCTCTACCACCCAATGTGTAACTTCTAACTGGTCTCTGCTGGTATGTCTACTAACATCCAAAAAGAAATAATTACTGGAAAGCTAGTTTTGTTAGGCCTAGAGGGTTTGGTGACATTCTTTGACTGTCTCACCACAATCATCAATTCCGTGTTAGCATGCTTTGATTACTAGACTTCAGGCGGTCTCTTTCATTGTATCATATTTATTCACAACTAGTAAATCTTCTTTTCCATGTGTGCTATGACTGTTTTTAAGTTTTGATAAAAAGTGTGCCAGTTTTAGTAACATTGGACTTACAGAGACAGAGGTTCCAAATAATGGACATGTCCACTGGGTAAGAAAACAGAGTGGGTGAGGTCTGGCCCAGGACCCACGTGTGAGGTCAAATGCCGAAACAAAGACAACCTGTCTACTGAGCTGGTCTGTGTCAGAACAGAGGGAGTGGAAAGAGACAGACTGCTTGAACCCTCTGAGACTTTCCTCCCGTTCCCCACTTCTCTGCCCTCTGCCTATCAATAGTTTGTTTATGCTTACAGAGAGGAAATGCAGAAGTGAGGTTCCTATGCTTTGCCTAGTTGAGCCACTACCAAGTTTGCTGGCAGCTTTGGCCATATTTTTTGTGAGGTGATTCTCTTTGTGTTCAAAGTGATTTTTGATTCTGATTCCTCATGTTGTTTTGTATGGAGCGGCACATTATCTGTGTTTTAGCAGAACTGTTCCTCTGTACCCTTGCGGTTTTTTCTTGTTTTTGTTTCCTTTTTAAATTATGCATAGAGGTTTTTTTGTGTGTGAAATTAAAGCCTTTATTAACCTTGTGTTGGTTCCACTTGTTATTTCTGAAAAAGACATATTCTTGCAGCCTAACCAGTTGTTCAGGTTTTGGAAATCGCCTTCTGTTCACCTCTGACTTGAATTTCTGTGCCACACTGTTGCATCTTACAGGAAATGGAGTGGCAGATCAACACGCGTTCTCAACCAAGCAGCCTGTGAAGTTTTGCCGAACTTCTGGATAAGGAACTGTTAATCAGCCTAACCCCTGCCTTTGCCTCTAGAGTATCTGAAAAGGGGTGAGACAGTCTGTGGGGTTCATACTAAAGCCTAGACCCAGCGGGTGTGTTTCCCTTTCTGGGAACTGATTAGCATGGTGAAATCTCGTAAGGGAGCCACCTGGGCTATTCAGTTCCCTTTCAAAGGAGTCCCCTTTAACTTAACTAACCCTGAGTGAGGCAGTGAGGAAAGAATAAGTAAAAAGGAGAAAAGCCAATACTCTGGAAGGGCTGTAAACCTGTAAACACTTTGGCACGCGTGTGACAGGCAGATATCAGCATGATAGGAAGAGCCTAGGAGGGCACTCAGAACTTGTCTCGTGGAGTGGTGGGCTGCCCTTTTAAGGGGGTAAAACAGGATGGAGACACTGCCACCTTCTTGAAGGCTGATGGGGCCATGGGCTGCTGCTCACAACTAAAATTTTACTTCAATTAACAATTAAGAAAAAAACTGCAAGCAGAACAGGGTGTTGCTTTGCAACCACAGCAATTTGCTTCTCAAAATAGTCCTTTTTCTTTCTTGAGGTTTTGTTGCTTCCACTGAGGCAAAGCATAGAAAGCATCTGGAGTCATGCCCAAGGCCTTGGTGAAATCCTCAGTGGACAGGTGAGCCTAGAAGGAAGGGACCAGAAGGAAGGGTCACATTCTTTCCTATTGGAGTCACATGGATGTGGTAAATCAAAGGAAACCTAACTCTGTCTCTGGTGAATCTTCTCACCTCCCACATCTGGCTTGCACCCCAGTTCTTGTATGCATAAATAAATAAATCTTTTGGAAAAAAAAAAAAAAAAGGCAGAGGACCCTCCCTGGGGGTGCAATGGGTTTAAAGTGCAGCATTACTAAGTGTTTCACATTCACTGCAGCACCAGGTCGATCCCCGGCCAGGGAGGTGGCCCACATGGCCAGCAGACCTCTCCTGTCTCACCTACTGCTCCCCTCAATAATGTATTTCAGCAGATCCTTCTTTTCTGCTCCCCACTTTCTGGTGTGTCCTCTCACCCCCTGCACCTCTGGCCTGCACCCCAGTTCTTATATGCATAAATAATTTTTTTTTTTTTTTAAGTAAAAAGGGCAGAGCTAAAGTGGAAGCTTCCTGAGGACCAGGAAAGAGATGAAAGGAGTAGGTGGGATCCTGAAGCCTTGAGATTCAGTCCCTGAATTTGGAACATAATGAAAAGGACAGCAACAGTATGAGGTAGGTTGAGGAGCTAGCAAGCAGGCAGTATGTGATGGTCAGGATGAAGCTAAACACTAGCCCAGAAATAAGCAGGAACGTTTGGCTTAGCTTCATTACAGAGTAGCTTCTCTTTGCAGACCTTAGTTTCCCTCTAAGATGGGAGAGAGTTCTCAAAGACCAAATTTTGTTCTTTTTAATGCTTTTATGGGGGGAACCTCCAGTATGAAAGGTTATTGGAAATAAGGTGTCTGCTCATTTATGAAGTAGCAAACCACAGCTAGTGGGTCTGTCAGTCTGGCTCACAGGAGCAGATGAGCGGCAGAAGCGAGTCTGCATTACAAGACAGCTGCTGTCCTAGGCAACAGCTCCCCCACCCCACCCTTGGGAGGGCTCACCATCCTGGGCCAGACGTTGCTTCAGATCAAGTTAGCAGACTGGCCACCTGACCCTACTGAAAGAGAAAGCCGTGGTCTGCTTTATATGTGCTCTGTGGCACTCAGGCCAGGCATGTTTGACTATTCCCGTGGTCGAGAAAGTCATCTGATACCAGTACATGACATCACACTGACCCCCCCTTTTTGGTGATTTTAGAGGTTAGCAAAGACCTTATCTTTCCCTGCAAAGTATATTTTTGTGCTTACAGTTGACTTCAGGAATTTTACCATTGTAGTACTTTGTCTCTCTGATGCACAAAAGTTTGTTCCTGGTTAAAGATAACATGCTAACCCTCAGGTCTTTTATATTCTACTGTAAATGTACCAAGTTTTGTAGGAGTAGATTTTGCTAAGAGAAGGCAGCAGAAGGTACAACAGAATTACAGAGAAGTTAGGAAATCCAGAGAATAAACTCAGTCAAAATTCCCTAGCTCTTGGCCCTCCCTGGTAGCGCAGCGGGTTAAAGCACAGCACTGAGAAGCTAAAGCCACTTCCGCATGAGTTTGATTCCCGCCTGCCCCGGAGGTGACCACATGGCGTGGCAGACCTCTCCTGACCCGCCCGCTGCTCCCCTCAGCATTGTACTTCATCGATCTGCCTGTTCTGCTCCCCACTCTGTCTCTGGTGAAGCCTCTCGCCGCCCCTGCACCTCTGGCCTATACCCCAGTTCTGTATGCATAAATAAATGAATCTTTAAAAAAAATTCCCTAGCCTTGAGTGGAAAACAAAGGATTTGGGTAAATGACTTGTACCAGCTTCTCTCATCCTACAAATGTCCTCGAAGATTAGATGGCAAAATTCTACCATTTCACTCGACCTGTAATCACAACTGTGCCTTGAGTTTCTTCAGACATAAGGTGAGGATTGACTGAAAGGGCCTTTGCTCCCAGCTCTAACAGGATATGATGGTGACTGTTTAAGGCACACTCAAATAGGAACCCCCAACTTAATTTGCTATCAGTGTCCACATCTCTGCTACCCCAGGCACTGGGAGGGGTCAGGGTGAAAGCATTGGGCTCCTTCCCCACAGGACTGCTTTGCTGCATGGAGCTGCGAGAACATGTTGGTTCCCACACGCAGCCTGGGACAGCTGCTTGGTAAACAGCTGTGGATGGATTTCAAGCCCCGGCGATCTGATGCCAGGTCTCTAGCCTGTCTTTTAGATTTGCCTCCCGTCTCTGGGCATTCTCGCCGCAGGCTTCTGGAAACCCTCCCTCCTCTCCCAGACTGGGCACCCAAGCACCTTGTTTTAGGAGCAGACTGTAAATATGAGTGGCTTGAGGATCAATGAGTGGGGAAAAACTGCCTACCTCAGGTCTGTTGTAGCACCCCTCCCCCTCACGGCCCCCCACAGCCATGACTGCTGTGTCCTGGGTCTGCAGGTGGCTTCAGGGGCTTTCTCTGGCCCAACCAGGCTGGCTCCTGAGCTGGGACAAAACTGGACTCTGACCTCCAGGCCAGATAGCAGGGACTGCCCATCCCAGTGGACTTCTGTCTCCATTATTCTTGTTCTTGAACTCTGAAGTCCTGCCCTCTGATAACTGGCCTCACCCTTGCCCACATCCGCCTCTCTCTGGTGGATCAAACACTTGCTATTGCGTCAGTCAGACCCATCACCCCACTGGCTCCCTTCCATTTTAGGAGCAACCAGAGTGGTCGGAAGACCCTGCCCACCCTCCCTACTTGGCATTGAGCCCTTAGCAGTCCCACAAGAACATACACTGCAACCACAATAAAAGAAATAAAGACACAGATCATTGAAGAATCTAAGGGCCTCCCTGGTGGCCTGGCGGTTGAGTCACAATACTAGCACCACCATGGCCTGAATTCAGTCCCCAGCCTGGAGCTGACCCACATGGCGCAGCAGACCTCTCCTGTCTCACCTACTGCTCCCCTCAATAATGTATTTCAGCAGATCCTTCTTTTCTGCTCCCCACTTTCTGGTGTGTCCTCTCACCCCCTGCACCTCTGGCCTGCACCCCAGTTCTTATATGCATAAATAATTTTTTTTTTTTTTTAAGTAAAAAGGGCAGAGCTAAAGTGGAAGCTTCCTGAGGACCAGGAAAGAGATGAAAGGAGTAGGTGGGATCCTGAAGCCTTGAGATTCAGTCCCTGAATTTGGAACATAATGAAAAGGACAGCAACAGTATGAGGTAGGTTGAGGAGCTAGCAAGCAGGCAGTATGTGATGGTCAGGATGAAGCTAAACACTAGCCCAGAAATAAGCAGGAACGTTTGGCTTAGCTTCATTACAGAGTAGCTTCTCTTTGCAGACCTTAGTTTCCCTCTAAGATGGGAGAGAGTTCTCAAAGACCAAATTTTGTTCTTTTTAATGCTTTTATGGGGGGAACCTCCAGTATGAAAGGTTATTGGAAATAAGGTGTCTGCTCATTTATGAAGTAGCAAACCACAGCTAGTGGGTCTGTCAGTCTGGCTCACAGGAGCAGATGAGCGGCAGAAGCGAGTCTGCATTACAAGACAGCTGCTGTCCTAGGCAACAGCTCCCCCACCCCACCCTTGGGAGGGCTCACCATCCTGGGCCAGACGTTGCTTCAGATCAAGTTAGCAGACTGGCCACCTGACCCTACTGAAAGAGAAAGCCGTGGTCTGCTTTATATGTGCTCTGTGGCACTCAGGCCAGGCATGTTTGACTATTCCCGTGGTCGAGAAAGTCATCTGATACCAGTACATGACATCACACTGACCCCCCCTTTTTGGTGATTTTAGAGGTTAGCAAAGACCTTATCTTTCCCTGCAAAGTATATTTTTGTGCTTACAGTTGACTTCAGGAATTTTACCATTGTAGTACTTTGTCTCTCTGATGCACAAAAGTTTGTTCCTGGTTAAAGATAACATGCTAACCCTCAGGTCTTTTATATTCTACTGTAAATGTACCAAGTTTTGTAGGAGTAGATTTTGCTAAGAGAAGGCAGCAGAAGGTACAACAGAATTACAGAGAAGTTAGGAAATCCAGAGAATAAACTCAGTCAAAATTCCCTAGCTCTTGGCCCTCCCTGGTAGCGCAGCGGGTTAAAGCACAGCACTGAGAAGCT